TTGACTATTTAATATCTGACAAACTTCCAATTTACAAAAGAAAAAAATAATTTGAAAAAAATTTAAAAATCATCCTACTTCAAGCATATTGATGTTTGATACATCTTCTTTTCTTTAGATAAAGATACCTGAGCCTGTTTTCAAGGCTATGCTTCTCCATGGTTCTCTATGCTTTAGAGGGTAAAGATCAGATCATATAGCATTATGTCAGGAGTAATTGAAACACTTTCTGCACCTGACTTAAAAACAAACTGCTTAAAACTACCCTGGATTGAGAAGGACCATTTGATTAATTAAACCAAAAATCTTCTCTCAGTTCAAGAGCTCAGTGAGAACCCTTAATTACATAATCAAAAATTATGTCAGGAAAGAACATAATGAAAACCTAATTATGCACTTTTTAGTATGTGATTAGTTTTAAGTAGGTGGGTAAGATTGAGGAAGAGAAAAAGAGGGGAAATATGATTAAAGAAGTGAATCAGGCAGTGGAAAGAAAAGAAGTATCAGAGAAGTGAGTAATGGCAAATACAGCCTTCTGCCAGAGTCTCTTCCAAAACCAAAGGGTTTGACTTGAATACAGAATGTATGAACTAACACACGCTTCTTCTCCAATTATGTGTGTTTAGGATTTGACACAAATCTGAAATCTATGAAAAGGAAATAAGCTGCATTTCCAATTAATTAGTGAGTTCAATACCAGGAATATTTTCGAAAAGTTTTGTCCATCTCCCCTGAGCTCATGGGAAGGCTTCAGCTCTGCATTCTCATGGTGTTGTCCCTCTGCCAAGCCAGACACTGATGTAACATTTTACAAAAGCTTGTGTGCAGGACCTGTGATACAGTTTATAGTATCTCCCTCTTTCTTCTCAAATCCAGAATCCTTTATGGCATGGAGTGCTGTTAACCTTCAGTTTTCTCTAGGATATTAGGGTTCCCAAGTAAGTGGGGACACCAAGGAGAAGCACAAGCCTCAGTCACTGCTGTCCCATGGCACTCACAGGTGGCCTGACAACCCCACAGGTAAAATCTGAGTGCTGGCTGGAATCTCGTGGGACATTGTGGGGCCCCTTTGAGTGGGCTCTGTTTTGCCCATATTCACAGTGTCCTTGGGCAGCCACATGGATCTCAGTTTCCCTGCTTTCAAATGGACTTAATACTTCTGTCCTTTTACCACACACTGTGTCTAAATAAGTGCTTTCAGAGTTTAACTGAATGTGTGCATTATATTATCTTCTAATCACAGAAAATTCCATCCACCCTTCCTAGCCATTCTTTTTCTTTGTTCATCATGTTCCCTCTAAGTCTCTATTTGTTCCAAGTCACTCTGCTGTCAAGTTACCTGAGCATCTTTATCTTAAGCCTATTTTTAGGCTGATGTTAAAAAGAGAAATGCAAATGCTCTGCTGGCAGTCTAGGTGCCTGAAGAGTTGGAAGCTAAGAAATTATTTCTGCAAAGCTCACTGCAAACTACCTCCATATATCTTGCTTGAAGATTAATAATTTGTAGAAGTCAAAGGGATTAGTTCTTAGCTAGAATAAATCAGCAGTGGCTTTAGCAACATCAGTTATCTGCAATGAATTATATAGGGACAGGTGAAAGTTGATTCATGTCTGCTGCACGCAGGCCAGAACCTGATTTTAACCACACACATGGAAATCTCTATTAACTACATTATTTTGACTGAAGTTTCTAGAAATACTCTGTCTATCTACAGATGCAATGTTGGAATTTAAATTAGCTGCTGCCATTCAATAAACAGGTGCTGGAGTCAGGGTTTATTCTCTGCTCAGCAGCAGCATTTCCAAGCTCTGTGGGAGCAGCACAGAACAGGTCCCTGGCACACAGACTGCTTTAATATCTCACACAAACCTTTTAGCGCTGTCTCTCAAAGCATCTAGTAGAGCTACAGGTACAGGGAAGTGAAAGAAAGATGGTTAGCTGTGCAAAATGGCTTCAATATGAGGACAGTCTAACAGGTTAGAGCATTTTAACTTGGTGTGGAGAGCACTGAGAGGAAATAAACTGAAGGTCTGCAAAATCTTTAAATGGTGAGTAAAGCATAGACAGTGACTGAGAGGTATTGTTTGCAGTTATGAAGTTAAGATGCAACCAAGAAAATTACCAGGTATAAAGCAAAAAAAAAAAAAAAAAAAAAAAAAATTAATATAGTAATCATTAAATGCGAAAAAAACTTCTAAAGGATTCTGGAAAAGGCAAACACCTTGTGTGTCAAAAGAGAATTTGATGGGAAATATGCCCATTGTTGCCTAGTAAAACTGGTCTAGATACAACCTCTAGCTCAGGAAATTCTTCAACTACCTTAAGCCAGGTATGTCACATGCAGACTTGAGTGCCAAAATTGTTTTGGGAACCACATTTCAACCAACTCACTGATTTCCCATGAGTCTTTGGGCATTTCTTTAGGGAAGTTTGGACACTTTTTAGGGAAAAGGGCTGTGGACTAGTAAATGCTGAACGAAAATGGTAAATGTAGGGTGCCCCATGGACATGGTGTACCCAACCTGGAACCAGGGTACCTGTGCTCATAGGGGCAACCCCTCTCTTCTGGCCTGCCTTACTGCAGCATTTACTGGTTGCTGTGCAGTTCCAGGCAAAGCTCATGCCCGGCTTTAAGCTTCTCTTAAAGTTGTCTTGCCATACTGCCACTAAAATCAGAGGAATATTTTGAAGCAATGCAGCTTGTACACCGTGGTGACAAAAAGGCACTTGTCCTCCAGCGGCGGAGGCATCGCTCCGGAAAGCATCCTACTTAGCTGTGATCGGCTCCTGTCTCAGCACTGGCTACGGAAATGAAATTTTTAGAGGATTTTTGAGGAAAACACAGGAGACATAGACAGCAAATTAGCAACTTTGAAACTAACAATTTTCTCACTCAGCCACAGGGTGGGGGCGTAGCTTTGGTGATGCTGATTTTTCCTAACAGGGTGTATTGTTATTTAATTAGGATATTTTAAAAGAAAGTCTTGCCGCCTACCTCTTGCCCCAAGCAGAAAAAAACCCAAAACCATTTGATGATTTTAAAGAGTAAATAAATGAAAATGCTGCAGTGACTTTCAGAAGAAAACGAAAGATTAAATGTGAAGAAGTTGAAAGAAAACCAGTGAATTCCGAGTGTAATCTGACCTCCTAGAGGCTGCGCTTCCCTGTCGTGTCCCAGAGCGGCTGTGCAGCGCTCCCCCGCAGCCAGGGACCCGCACAGAGCCCAGAGCCCCCCCGGCCAATCGCCCCCGGCGGTGCTGCTCCTCGCACCCGACACTCACCGAGACAAGGCCTTTCGCACACGTTCTTTCCGCTTTGGAACAATCGTGTTTCAGACCGACTCGGATCGGGGGAACGTTTGTCACTGGCGATGCAGAAGGTGCTACCGCAGGGTGTCAGAGAGACGATAACCGCGCACCTTGACCCGAGACTACCTCATTGGGAGACAAGGGGAAATAAAATATTGACACTTAATAAAGACCATTTCCACACCTAGGGCTCAAAGCATTTGAGATATTTTCTTTACACTGCAGACCTGCAGCCTGCTGCAACTGTGTCTTGACCCAAGAGCTGTTTTTTCATTCTGTGTAATGCGATATCCATGAAGCCTTGAGATGATAATTGGGTATGTAGACTACCAACAGTGACTCCTGAATAGAAAACTTAAAAACCAGAATAATGATCAGTCAGAACATAAAAAAGCCCATGTTGAGATAAAAAAAAAGTTAAAGAGATATTTTGGTTTAGCCTGGGAAAGATGACAATTATTACATTATTTGTTACATTTAGTTTTGCTAAGTTTACTTTTTAAGGTAGTATATCCAATAAGAGTCTCTATTATTATGCCCCTTAGGAGTTCACATTATTAACATTTTTAAATTTTCTTCTTGAAACCTTTTTCCTTAATTAAAAAAAAATAATTAAAAAGGAGTATTTGTAGTTTGACAGGAGCTTGGCAGTGTTCTTATGGTGGAATGAAGATATTTGGGAGAATATGCACGGTTATGAACATAGTTATCCTTCTGGGAATGGGGGGAGTAGTGCTGAATTGCAGCCCTCAGCCTGGTTTTGTGTGCCCGGTTCATCTCTGCCCTTATGCTGCGCACTCACTTTGCACGAGCAGTTGCAACCCACTTAAAACCTCTGCACTTTGGATTCACAGCGATGAAACCTGCGTTTTGTGTTTGTTCTTTGTTGGCACGGGTTTGTGATTCCTCGTTTCTGTTTCGTGTCCACTGTGCTGCGTGCGTTCCTGTGTGACAACGGCGGTGTCTGTGTGACCCCGCGCAGCGGCGGGCCGGGCAGGGCCTGCGGGCTGGGGCGAGTCCTGCTCGTGCGGGCAGCCGCGGTGCGTTCACCGCGCTGTGCCGTGTTCGTGTGCCGCGCCGTGAGCCCCGTGTCGGGCCGCGCTGCGGGACCGCGCTCTGCGGGCCGTGCGGGCCGTGCCACCGGGCTGTGCGGGCTGCGCAGCAACTCAGCTCACCGTGTGTGAAGTGCAGGTGGGGCAGAGGGCGAGGAGTGCGGGGTCTGCAGCGCACGGGGTGAGGGCGTGCATGTGGGACGGGAGGAGGGAGTGCGCGTGTGAGGGGCTGCATGTGAGGGGCTGCGTGAGAGGGGCTGCGTGAAGGGCAATGTGTGTGAGGCAATGCGTGTGAGGGGCTGCGTGAAGGGCAATGCGTGTGAGGCAATGCGTGTGAGGGGCTGCGTGTGAGACGATGCGTGTGATGGGCTGCGTGTGAGGGGCTGCGTGTGAGGAGTTGCGTGAGAGGGGCTGCGTGAGAGGAAGACGCGGCTATGAGTGTGTGCGAGACGTGAAGACGAGGACACGCGGCTGTGAGGGTGTGCGGGACGTGGAAACGAGGACAGGCGACTACGAGGGTATGCGGGACGAGGAGACGACAAAGCCACACGGCCCTCGCTCTCGCCCCGCCCCGCTGCCCTCCGCCGGCCCCCGGGGCCGGGCTCCGCTGCCTGCGCCCGCCCCGTCCCTCATCCCCTCTCCCTGCAACCGGGACTTCCCTTCGCGCTCTATTCAGCGGTGCCGCGCCGCTACCCGGGCATGTCCCGCAGCCGGGCTTCGCCCAGCGCCCGGCTCCTGTAACGCCTCCGCCCGCGGGCGAGGCAGGGCCGCGGGGCCATGGGGGGCTCCTGAGGGAGCGGGGAGCGGAGCGCCCGGCCCGCGCCGCCACCATGGAGCCGCCGCCGCAGCCGCCCGGCGCCCCCGGCGCCGCCGAGCCCGCCGGCTGCCCCAAGGACACCGACCGCCAGCTGCGCCTCCGCCTCTGCGTCCTCAACGAGATCCTCAGCACCGAGCGCGACTACGTGGGGACCCTCCGCTTCCTGCAGTCGGTGAGTGGCACCGCGGGCTGGGGAGCGCCCTCGGGGGCTCGGCGGGGACGGGCGGACGGCCCGGAGCGGCTCCTCTGGCGGGCCGGGGGCTGCGAGGGCGGCGGGGCACAAGTTGTGGGAGTGCCCGTGCTCGGGTCCGCGCCGCGGGGAGGGAGTTTCTGTTGGAGAGGCCCGGGGCCGGGGCCGGGGCCGGGACTGGGGCCGGGGCCGCCTGGCAGCGCGGGGCCGGCGGGCCCCAGGTTCTCTCTCCCCCGGCGTGGAGCGCCGGCCCCCAGTGCTCCCGGCCCCGCGGGGCGGCAGGAACGGACCCAGGGGTGGGTCTGCTCTCAGGATGCCTCGTTCCTTTGCTTGTTGTTGTTCAGAAGTTGCTTTTGCACTCACTTGGAAAATCTACCCTTACTGTCCGTTGTTTATAAATAAATATTGTACATATATCTTTGTTTAATGGTAAACATAAATTTGTGATTGTGCCGGGTGTGTCTGTGCATGTGGAAGCAATTATACCTGCCTCTGAAATTATTCACGGGCTAGTTCAGAAGAAAAAATCCATCTGTATATTTCCATTTTCCTATGTAGGTTCTAAACGTGGAATTCATCTGTGTGCCACCACACTCCTGCAAATAACTAGAAGAGCCTGTAGTAAAAGTTACTAGATAACAGATATATATATATGAGAAAGAAGAATAAACTAGTGATCACACAGAGATCAAGAATCAAAGCAAAGGAAGTTTCTGCAGAGATTTCTAAAAGCTTGTTTCCAAAAGGGCAGAAATTCTTTCTGGTGTTTTTCTAGATAAAGACTTGACTCTGGTTTCATCTAAAAGTGCTTAGACCCTGGGCCCCTTTGACCTGTTCTTCTGGCAGTATTTTTTTTTTTGTTTGTTTTTTAAAATCAGTTTGTCTTCAGTGTTTTTCAGATTCACCAAAGTGGCAAACTGTCTAGTGTGAAAGATAAATGACAAGGATGTGGTTGCTTTATGAACTAGTCTCTACTTGAAACCTCCTCTTCTCTCTCCAGTAATTGAACTCCGAGCCTTTAATTTGAGTTTTCCAACTGAAGTGCCAGTTAGCTTCATTTAGAACTGTGGTTCTGTCTCAGTGCAAGGAGGTTTTCTTCTGAGATGTAGAAGAGCCCCACCCTACAGACAAAACAAAACCAAAATCCCTCAGAAAACTCCTCTGTCCTAAGTACTGAATTAGAGATTTTGTTAGCTGCAGGCTGGAATGTAGATTCAAGCTACATATATTTTTGATTCCGGTTCTTACAGCTAAATGTATTCACAATGTTAGCTAAATGGGATTTTGATGTATTAAAAAAACAAAACAGGTCTTTTATTTATTTGTATTTGTTAACTTGGCAGTTTTCATTAGAGCAGTAGTGAGTAATACGCCCTAGGTCATGGCAGGAGAAGATCCTGATGGAGCACACTCGCTGAGGTCTTGGCTGGCACTGCTGGCACTTAGAGTCCTTCTGGGGCACTTTGCCACCAGGAGTAGAGTGGCTATGGTATTATCTTGTGGTGTTGGTTCTGGAAGTGCAGCTGTACCCCGCTACGGAATTTGTGTTTTAGCCATTATGTTTGAATAAAGCACTGAGGGATAGGATCTTTCTTATCTCTGGGCCTTAGTTTAGAGCAGCATTCATACACAGGCTTAACTTCATGCACATTTCAAATATTCATGTGCTGTCCTAAATAATGTCAGTTTCTTCAGTCATTGACCTACATCTTATGGACTGAATCTCTCTACAACTGCTTTCTAATAGCTGAATTTTGTTAGCCCCAAGGAAAGGAGAATGAGGATCACTGCAGCAGGTGAGGGTAAAAGGAGCAAAGATGAAATTTTTAAAAATAAAATTTGGAGTGTGAAATATTTTCTGCATAAATTATGTGGATGGCCATAACTTTATCCTTCTAACAAGACAGCATGCAGAAAAGAATTCTGCCCCACTTCCCCACTGGACAGCTGACACAACGTACAGGGATAACATCATCTATATAATCACTGGGATTAGATGCAGTTATAGGCCAAAAGTTTTGCTTTAGGACCCTGATGGAAGTACTGCTGCAGCCCTGGGACTCTGTATTCTCAGCTGTGCTTGGCCTCACAGGAGGCCATGTAACTCCTGTTTGTTGGCTCTCACTGCTCAGGAGCCACCCCTCCTGACCCCAGATCTCTGCTCCCCAGCTCGTGTTCTGTGTGGGCAGCACTCACCCAGTGCAAAATAAACTGCTCCACTACCTGGGGTGATGCACCAGGTTAACGCTCCAGTGTGACTGGGCCAGGTTACTTGTTTTGCCCATAGTGTGCGTTGTACTGAAATGGTTGGTACTCCATGTGATCCAGATGTAATTTTGGCTGCACTGAAAGACTGCTGTTATGTGCAGGAGAACTGCAGTACCCCGATCTGGAAACTTGTTCCTGTCAAAAAGGAGATGAGACAGATGTGGGGTATGGGTTCCTTTGCCTAAGAAATGTCAATAGCTTGGGTTAAATGAAGGAAGGCTGAAGCTCATATCTTCTATCATCATAAGGAATTTCCCCCAAGTAGGCTGGGACAGCTGTGCTTATGTGAGGGAATCTGTGCTCTTGGTTAAATATTTGCTATTGAAGCCCTAGTCCTCATTAAGTGTTCTCAATAAACAATGTTTTAAAAAGCAAACAGCTAAATTCTATGGGTTTATTCACAGCACTGAAGTTGCTTGCAAGCAGCAGCTTCCTGTGTTCCATGGTAATGTACAAGAATCTCTTAAGTATTTAGAATCTTGTGAGTATTTAATACTATGCATTTACAAATGAATCAAAACAACCTCAGTTTACTTACAGTATTTTAATCTGTATTAGGAGATGAATATATGATCATGTTTAAGGAAAGGTTTCCTTTTTCTTTTCTTTTTTTTATGTTTAGAAATGTTTTCCCACTAAGATGCAGGGGAAAATAGGTTCATTATTAGCATAAGGACTCAGCCCTTATTTGCTTTGCCTAAAAGATTGTGGTCCGTATTTTGCTTTCATAAATTAATAAAGTGAGTATGTAAAGTTTAATATAAAGCATAATTAAAGTTATAATTAAGTACATAAAGTGATAGAACAGAGTTATATTTTCTTACAATAAAAATTGTGTTAGTCACTGTTAAGAATATTTTGAGTAGCGTACTCATTTAATGAAAATGCTAAAGATGTTTATTTATTTAAATAAAGTAGTCTCTAGAATCAGTTATGTTTTATACCTGAAGTAATTTTGACAAATGGATTTATATCTGCAAATTTAACTTGGATGTCCCATCATTTTTCACTTTGTATGTGATTTGTAGTAATTTTATTCTATTTAATTTGGACATTTCCTAGTCAGTTTACCTCCTATTTAGTTTCTGGTACTCCTGTTGGTACTTGTATTATATGTGTGTGTATATATATAATATTTCTCTTAGTGTGTATTATCTATTGTAGTGTAATGTATCATAACCACAGAGAGAATGAAAGCCAGTAGCTTTACCCCATGGTTTGTTCCACATCTTACAAGATGAGATATCAATTCCAAGGGATATAGCTGTTTTTTTAAAAACAGAGTCTGGATTTTATATTAAATTGTAATATAATACAGATATTATACTATATGTATACCATTATTTCAATAGTCCCAGCTGTCCTAGACATTTCCTCAAATAAGGAAGAAGGGAAAACTCTCTTCTACCAGCTCACAGCTGATGACCTGAAGTTACTGATTTAGATACGAATATACACACACAATATTGTGTCCTGTTTTAATTGCCATTTTGTCAGTCAGGGATGGTATTATTGCTAGTTGTGGAATTATTCTTGAACAAATGCTGTGTAACTCAGGAGTATTAATAGACAATGGTGCAGTTATGCAGCTGTGTTACTGGCTGTACTAGTAAAGGCTCATTACACAGCCAAACTTTTTAAGCAGCAGGGAGAGCTGCATGGAGCAGATGGAAATGTACTGCTGCTAACATCATTAAAGAACTACTGATCACCGAAGAAGCAAAGTGGAACATTTTCAGAACCTACTGGAACTTTAGGAAAAGTTTCAGGAGTAAGATAAACTTCAAAGGCATAAAGACAGATAATTCTGTTGTCAGTCTCTGGTGTGATCATAAACCATAAGGATTTTCAGTCTCCAGGTTTTAAGATTCAGTTAATCCTTTGGCCTCTTTTAACTCTGTAACGTATACAGAATCTTTATATTTATGTTTTGTAAATACTTCTTTTTTGTGTGATGGAATCACAGCAGGTGATAATTGAGTTTGAGTGACCTGCTGGATAAATGGCAGGATGTGTCTGGTGGCATGCGGTCCTGTGCAGGAATGTGGGGCTGCCAGGGCTCTGCTGGAGGTGCAGTGTCTGCAGGGTGCAGCCCGCAGGCCCAGCCAGCTCGAGGGAGCTGTTCTTGCTTGGAGTGTCAGTTGGTACAGAGAAGTAATGCACAGTTTGTTGGGGAAAGAAAGGTTGTGGTGTGTTTGGCTGTTGCATGGTCGTTCCACAGAAACCCACGCAAATCTGACACTAATATTTCAGTAATTAAAGACCAGCTCTCAAGTAAGGAGACACAGAAGGCCTGAGCAATTTCAGACATACTCGTTGACCGTCATTCCAAAAATAGATGAAATAGTGAATACACAGCAGTTAGTGGTCAGATTTTTAAAAAGCTTTTTTTACCATTTTGTAGATATAATCATGAATTACATGTGGAAGTGTTGGGGCAGTAGTTATCCAGTACACTGGGTTGCAGTGGTAGGTATTTTGTTGCATCACTTTTTTCCCCCCACGTTCATTTATTTCACTGAACATTCAGCTCAAACATGCACATGCAGCTCCCACAGCTTAGATAATTGAAAATATATAAAGCCAAATTGTTCTCTGCATTGTATATATATGTCTCTTTCATCTTTCCAGAGACAAACCACCAACTTGTAAATTTTAATGTCAGAATGACAGGATGTACTTTTAGCTTGAGCAATTGCTGTTTGTTCTGTGTA